ATAACGCCCCACGGCTGAAAGGACGAGCATGTTTGGTGGGACGGGGATTCGATCCCGCGACCCGCAGATTGCGAGTCGAGCGCTCTAACCACCTGGTCATGCTGGGCCTATGGTAGAAGCAATAAGTGCTTTTACTATCGTAAAACAGACTGGACTTTTCGTTAATTTTACTAAATAATAGAAAGAACCTCCCAATGAGAGAAATCTTTATAAGAATATGTATTATAATATATATTATTATAGCAGTGGAACTAGAACATCGATTAATGTACATAATTTAACGATGTATTAGACGTCATCTTTTAAATAAATTTTCTTATAATTTATAGTTCAAAGCACGTTATCTCTATGAACATAAGGTTGCTTATTAAGAAATATATTATTTACACACATTAAACCTTAAAGTATTTTCCTACGGGAGGAGAGAGAATTTTGTCATCTAGTCAATAACCAATCATACTGTCTTTTAAAACCTGTCATCCCCTAGAAACTCCTTCCCATGTTTATGTTGTTATGTATTTACAGCAACGTGAATCCTCAAAGTATTCTTGAAAAGTTAGATCTTCTGGCTTGCAGAGTCAGTACACTACCATAACGTTTTAGCTCTTCTCCAATGCTTAGTTACCCTGTTGAATAACTTTAAGCATTTATTTAGGATATTTACATTGTTAACTATTTTAAGTATAATCTTTTATTGACATAATTACCAAAAATCGAAAAACAAACTTAGATAAAAGTCATCTTATCTGTCATTGTGAATACGATGATTCATGGTTCGTGTCTCACTGCCACAAGATTGCTTTCTGTACTTTGGGTGTGTATGTGTGTGCATTATAAAGTTAACGATCAAATCCTACTATTTGCTTGAAATAGCCCAAAAAGTAACAGTTGATGCTGTTGACTCGCTGCCTTCTCTATACTCTATTATTTGAAAATCAAGGATAGCTATTATAGCAAAGATAGCTCGAGTGTACCTTTGTTAAATATTTGGAACAAAGAAAAATTAGTACAAGAAATGAAGATACTCACACACTGTAAATTTAAAAAATGAAGCAATACATTTTAGAACTTTTCTTGAGGACAATTAGCAAGTTTTAGTATAATATATTCTAGAATATGAACTATATTTTAATTGATATTGTTTGAGGAAACATAATATTTTGTGTTACTTCTTTTATTTGCACAGTTTATAATTTTATATTGTGATGCTTATAGTAGTTTGCAATAAACTTTGAAATAAATTAAATACGCTAAACTTTAGGTTACGCCTGGATAAACCTTATACAACAGCTAAAAATATTTTAATAGCGCTACATGAATATATCGGTGATGAAATTGTTTGTGGAAAGAACGCTACAGAAAAATTATCAAGGGAGAATAATGTTTCAACACATTAATATGTTCCTTTAACAGCACTTCAAAGCTTCATATTTCATGGTTTCTTTGTGTAGCATATTTTATTCCTGTTCAAATATTGTGTGTTAAAATATGAGAAATCGTTTCCTTTGTCTCTCTTGAATTGTAATATGTAAATCAGCAGGTCACACGACCACAGGCAATTTAAAATCGTGGTTGAACATAGTGTATCAAATTGTATCATAGCCAAAGTAAGCAAAATGCAGCGAATTGTAACAGGTAAGAATCTGTCTGTAAAAGTGACACAAGTTACATGTACACAAGTCTTTTCCGCGACATATGCAACCAATAATCGCATACCTAAGGCAGCTAGAATATGAAACGGGTGACATTAATACAATTCCATCAAGTCAACAGATGCAGCAGATATGGATTTCTATAAGATATGACTGTTGAAATGGGCGTTTGGAAACTTTCGTCTTCCCACACCAGATGGATTATGGAAGGTGGGCATGATGAAGCACTGTGCTCTGATCATGACAGCCTGATAACAGAGCTTTTTTTGCAACTTAAAGTACGCATAAAATCTATTATGAAGATGCACAGTCATCAGACGGAGTATGACTAGACGTAATAAGGCTCCCCAAAACCGTTTAGTGTTAGTGTACTCGATCTCTAAGATCCTTTTACGTGTCTGCAGTTAGTTACAAGTCCAAGATCCGGGAATAGATTCCTCTCTGTGTCCAACGCGCAGACAGCCCATTGTGTAGATTTTTGTAAGTACTATAAAAATAATTTTAAATTGTAAATATTCTTTTTGGCTAAAATTTTTTGTTGATTTTAAGAACTATAAGATCTGCACGTAAAGACTTTCAAATACTTACATTTTACATTTCAATAATCAATGAAATAATTTTATACGTCGTTAAGTAATCGTTCATAACGTCATTTAATTTCTTAAATATGTTTTACTATAAATCAATTAAAAAGTCGTTTTCCACAGAATATTTTATGTCCATGCTTCATCAACACGAAGGAAATTTTTACAGAGGATAACTTGCTACAGATTAGATAAGTTCTTAAATCTCACAACAGAAACTTTATTTATTACTAGCAAAACGCTGCCCTAAGGAATGCTGTTTGTGCTAGTAATTGCTAATTCTATTGTTCATACCTCATTAAAAAATTAGAAAAACTGAACATTTTCTAAAAAAATGATTTTTTTCTAGGAAGTACTGCACGGGAAATGTATTCGGATTGTACTCTTTAATCATACGAAACTCATCCCATCAAAATGATTCAAGGTACAGAGCTTACATTTTTCTTACGTTTTGCATATATAAACTGTAATGTTTTTATATATTAAAAGTGGTACCGCTTATTGAGAAAATAATAGCTTTTAAAGAATTCCTTTTTCTCAGTACTACACTTAAAAATTACATCAATAAAGATATAATCCAACCCTCACGTACAGTTCTATTGAAAGCCGTGTTCTTGTTGGTAGTAGATTACTTTTATTTAAAATTGTGTTCTTTTATAAAGAATGGTTGTTGCACATACCACAGATATTTTTTCTAATTGTATGAATCTTGAATACCCAAAGTGTGAAATTCTTTTATGGATTTTTGTTTATGGTGTCATTCAATAAATGGCGTAGGAGTTTTGGTTACATACATAGTTACTTACAAACACGCTACGTCTATTATAGTAAGATACATTGACTCTATAAACAGAGAACAGTTGCAAACTTATTAAATCATTTTATAATCTCGATAGAAACTTTAATTCATATTTTTTCAAGAATTTCGTCTACAGCAGAAATATTTTATCAAAGTTGGGATCATTTTCCCTCGCTTTTTCTGTTCATTATATTGGCAACTATATCTTTGAAGGAATAACTGCCGTCTAAATTAGTTACGCGGAAGAAGTCGAAGATGGTGAAACTTGGCTTCCCACGTTAGCTCGCAAGTCCCATCAAAATTTGGTTTCTCGCCATCAGGTAGAGCCACGGTGAAACGCTGAAGAATCGACGTGAAGTACAGAAACACTTCTATTAGGCCTAATGTTTCCCCAGGACAAGAGCGTTTACCTTTTGAGAAAAGCAATTGGATGTTAAATGTCCTTTGTTTGTTTTAGAAAACCATATTTACTATTTGTTACAAACGAAAATGTATAATGGTAATTTTAATCAACTTACAATCCACGACATAGCAAGTTTTTCGGAAAAACTCAAATTGATATAAAATATAGTTTACATTACTTGTAGTTATCATAATTTTATCACTTAGGGTAAATGAAAAAAGTTATATTTCTTAATTTTAATGAATATTTCAACTTGCTGTTTCTTGTTCGTTTCACATTTATAAAAGCCAAAGAATAACATGTTGTTGTAACCGGTTTTATTTTAACAAAAACAGATGTTTATTTTATTAGAAGCAGCTGCCTTTCCCACATCTATTTGCAGACTGTGAATAGTAATTTATGAAATTGTTGAATATTGAATAGAGACTAAACCTTCGTACCTAACTCCACAATTACTCCTTAAATTGTTATTCTCGTGGATTAATGTTTAATTACGAATGTCGATACCTATAGTTCAATATAAGGACAGTTGTACACAAAATAATAGATGCAAGGAATCCAGGAAATTCAGCACATTAATCAAATAATGTCATGAAGAGTTACGCTTCGAAGTTTATCAGTAATGGTTTTGTTTGGTCATCAAATATGATAACTATATCCTCTGAAAACAGTTCTTAGACTTTACACGTAGATTAGGTTAAACTGAACATTGTGTAACTAAACAGGCTCGTTGTGGGGAAAAAGTTAAATAAATCTGAGACAAAGCCTTTATAACTAGTAAAAGTATTTTTAAGTTATAAGAATTTTTTCAGTTCATAATTGTTAATAAATACTTTATTTTACTTCAACAGAAAAAATAGCAAAAAAGGAAAATCAGCAGAAACTTACCAATAGAGAATGGAATGAAATATTCAGGTTTTTTCATTGTGGTGCCATCCTGGCTAAGAAAATGTTCTGGAAAGAAAGTATCAGGGTTCTTCCAGTACCTGTGGTCGTGATGAACAGCCCAAATGTTTGTCAAGACGAATGTTCCTTTAGGAATGTTATACCCTTGAACACTTGTGTCTTCTGTGGTACTGGGTAAGAATGTTGAAACGATAATAATGCATCAATACATGTATAGTTTTTCTTAAAAGTAATAATATAGAAAAAATAAAGGAGTTTGGAGTTTTTGTCATTTCATTTTGTTTATATTTTCATTTCAATAAAAAAGGTATTCTCGAATTCTTTAATAAAGTTATCTTCAGCTACACAATAATTTATCTTTCAAAAAGTGGATGTTTTAATAGCCAACGATTACAACAGCTAGTAATTGTCTTTTATTATTGTTACGTATCTGCTTGTTTGTTTGTTTCCCGTAGAAATTATTTCGGAGGATCTTCAGCGATACAAGTCCTTTCTTGATTAAACCAATTTATTCTTCCTCGATACAAACTTTTAGTACACAGTAGTTCCACAATCAGTACGTTTCTCGTCACTTTAAACTGAACAACTTTTATAATACACGCTATAAATCACAGCGATTCACAATCTATCTCCCGCTGGCTTTCTCTGTCAGGCTTATATACTAACGGAGAGGGCATCTCGATCATTCGAGAACGCGCCAGCAGCATCACGTGACTTCCGCTGTCATAACACTATACTTTTAATTCAACAGTAAAAAATAGAACTGTGAGAAAACAACTAATTTCTTATTGGTTCAGAGATAATAGACCAATTATAAAACTAGTATAAGACCATTGGACCTCTGAAAGTTAAATGAAAAGCAAAGATGTTTAAACCTTGAACTTCTTAAAAGTTAAATAAAGTTTATAACTCAAAGGTATGCATTTACGGGATCAAAAGCTTCAACTCTCTGTCTATTATATACATACTCATACATTTTCGTAGAAAATATTCCACAACATTCATTTTTTGTATTTAAAAAATTCGATTTTTTTGGTGATTTACTTTTTTATTTGTGTGACAAGGCGTTTCTCGAGAAGATTGTTCT